CAATTTTTTATGAGAGAGGATTGGACAGCAGCCTTAGACAAGGGTATGTTTGTCGATATGATATTCATGGACTTTAGCAAAGCGTTTGACAAGGTTTCACACGTAGATTTTTTACAGAAGCTCTCGAGCATTGGAATAACAGGTGCTGTTCAGGAACGGACAGGAAACTTGTTATGTGACCACAGGCAGAGAGTAAGAGCTAATGGGACGCTATCCCAATGGAAGCCGTTAAAAAAGGTTTACCCGTGGTACTATCTAAGTTCCTTTATCTTTCCTTCTGTATGTCAATGAATTACAGCGATTGCTTAAGTCGTCGACATTGTTTGTGCGTGATGTCAAAATCTGGGGAACAATAAGCTGATAATTTTGATCTCCAAGCTGACCTAGACGAATTCATTAGACGGGCTCGAGGTTGGTACTTAGAAGTTAATTCTAGGAAGAGTGTATCCATGCATACCGGACACGGTAATGGTTACTGTTGATTGTGAATTTCTCTCATGCGTTCAGGAACATAAAGACTTAGAGCCAATAACAAGTCACGACTTGAAAACAACTATGCATTGCGGCGCAACTAGTGCTAAAGAGTTTAGTACGTTTTGGTCAGTTCACCGATCAATCAAATGCTTTGATGAGGAGATATTTCGAAGTTCATATCACAGCAACGTAAGACCACAATTAGAGCACTTTGTCCAAGCAACTGGCCTATGTCTAATTAAGGATACTAACTCACTTAAGCGTGTTCAGCGTGTGGGAACAAAATCAGTGATGGCTCTTTCTATAACTTTCTTACAATGAACGCTTAAAACGCTTAGACTGTTTCCCCATATCGTATCGCAGGATGCGAGGTGACCTAATATTGGCATTTCATATCTTTAATTACGACTTGAGTGTTCATATGTCTTATATGTTTGCTCCCTCCAGCACTAATAATCTCCGAGGTCATAGCAAGTAGGTTCACAAACCGCGATCTAATAAACTGGAAGTGGACTTCCGTTTTTTCATCGAGTGGTCAGGGACTGAAACGCCCTACCCAAACAAATGATATAAGCCCCACTAGTGAGCATTTTCAAGGAGAAGCTGGACCTTCACTGGAAGGCAAACATTCAGGATTAATGCAGGTCAACCAACCTACTATCCCTATTACTGAAGACAAGTCTATTATGTGGGACCTTAAAGAATGGTTTGGTGTAACCAATGTAGAAAACTTCCACTGATTTTCTATTATCTAGTAACTCTGTCCAACTCTCAAAAAGTTTGTTATTTTTGCTACTCGAAATACAAAGTTTTGAATTTCAGCGATACTTAGTTTTCAGTCATCGTGGTCGTTGTATCGTAACGTTTCTTGATTTGACTCTTATAATCGTTACCTACTTTCGTCTCTCGTGACTATGATTGCCAAATGATTGAAGGTCTTGTATATATTTTAGGAGTCAATCCAGGTTTTCGAAACTTTTTGGGGAAATTTGATCCGTTTATTCCGAAGCAACCAATAAAGGGCAACTAAAGGCGAATAAAGGAGAAATAAAGCGGACTAAACCGTAAATAAAAGAGCAATGCCGCTTTTCCCCCCTCACTTCGTGTATATAGGGGAAATTTGTCGACAATTGGGAGATTTTGGGAAAGCCGCCATAGAATAATTTGGGGAATATTCCAGGAAATGTCACCAAAACCCCAAAATTTCCACAGATCTGGGGAAATTTCCTAAAATTTTGGGGTTTTCCCCAGAATCTTACTACCTTTTGGGGAAATTCGCCTATATTTATTGATAAAACCCCAACATTTTGCGCAATTTCGGGGAAACTATTCAAAATATGTCGTTTTAACGCAATATTTCTTCACAATTTTCTACAGGTATCAATAAAAAGCCTGACGATTCAGTAGTAAGTACCCAAAGGTTCCTACTCATGTATTCCATTTTTTCCTGTCAACTTTGCACAGTAAACGCAATGCCGAAGCAATTTGACTACAATTCATAACGAGAACCGATCTGTCGCCGCAGTTAAAAGACTGACGTGTTGTACATGGAAATCTTTATCCAAGTTTAACAATGTACAAATTTTCCATTATTACATTACTTCTCCCAATTCTTAGCAATTGCTCATGCGTTTTGAATAAGTACATTAGTTTGATGTTGAACTTTCATTTGCAGTATTCTACAAAAAGAAAAACAGTACTCTTTAGTAAGCAAACAGCTGTCATGACAATCATCCAACTTACGTATCTTGAATGTCACGTAAATGTTCATGACGTACCAGCGGTATAACAAAATTGTGAATATTCGAGATAAAAAAGAGCCTACGGTTACGTCTGCTAATACTTGCGAAGCCAGCCGAAAATAAGATGGACAAGAAATAATTAATTGCGTATAAATGTTTATTACAAACTAATACCGAAACAGAAACTGGTATTTAATCAAAGATCTAAAGTGCATTTAGCTCATCCTTTCTTTTGATCACCATCCACGCTCATTGACTTTATCTCTTGCGTCGTGTAAGAAAGCCTTGCGTGCAACATCCATGGCTTGTGTTGTTTCTTTCTCTGGACAGGCTGCACCTCGGAACCGTGAACACAGAACATCTACAAATATATTAATATTGCAATGTCAACTTACTTTGAATCGTCCTGTAGAATCTGTAATTACTGATACCTAGTTTACTCTTAGTCCCGTGTAACGTACAAGTGATTGCCAGTTCCGGTGTCAGCATGGGAGCTAGGCACGCTTTGGTTGGTTTCCGAGGTTCATCACATATGATCTTGAACAAACTGACCACCTAAACATTTTTAAACACCTGTTCCAACTTAAGAATTGATCATACATGGGTGTGAAGGACAGGTGCAGCGACAACATAGACACTTCAAGTTTCGAATTGCCATTAAAAACACATGAGGAATTGCGCACTTTTGAAGCTGCTTTAAAGGAGGTCAAGTCTCCTAATCCTGACATGACCATGGCATTTGTTTGCTTACTAAAGAGTACTGTTTTTCTTTTTGTAGAATACTGCAAATGAAAGTTCAACATCAAACTAATGTACTTATTCAAAACGCATGAGCAATTGCTAAGAATTGGGAGAAGTAATGTATTAATGGAAAATTTGTACATTGTTAAACTTGGATAAAGATTTCCATGTACAACACGTCAGTCTTTTAACTGCGGCGACAGATCGGTTCTCGTTATGAATTGTAGTCAAATTGCTTCGGCATTGCGTTTACTGTGCAAAGTTGACAGGAAAAAATGGAATACATGAGTAGGAACCTTTGGGTACTTACTACTGAATCGTCAGGCTTTTTATTGATACCTGTAGAAAATTGTGAAGAAATATTGCGTTAAAACGACATATTTTGAATAGTTTCCCCGAAATTGCGCAAAATGTTGGGGTTTTATCAATAAATATAGGCGAATTTCCCCAAAAGGTAGTAAGATTCTGGGGAAAACCCCAAAATTTTAGGAAATTTCCCCAGATCTGTGGAAATTTTGGGGTTTTGGTGACATTTCCTGGAATATTCCCCAAATTATTCTATAGCGGCTTCCCAAAAATGGGGAGATTGGGTTGGGTTTACACAGATCTCGAGACCTCTCCTCAAAACAGCTTACATTAGTGCACAACCCTTTCTTTATATCATAACTTTATGATCCATATCTATCTAATTATAAATTTATGTCAGCATTCAGTGCAACTTATATCATGACTCAGAAAACCCTTCATTAGTCGGTAGGCAATAACTATAGTAACCAGACATATAGCGGTTTAACACCACGTATAAAATTTCCGTATACCCCATATTTACCCGACACTATATCGGGTAAAAGGTTAACCTGAATAAATTTATTTGGAATATATTGAATCGTGACGGTAGAACTAGTAGAATTTATTTTAATACAGCTATGAATGGTTCAAGTATTCGGGCTTTTTCTATGGAAGTTGATAACAAAAACATAGCAGTTAAGGACGACTCTTGTTATATGGAAAACCAGGTTGTATACTGCAAGTATTTGCGAAAATAACCCAGAAAACACTTTAGTTATAGTGAGTAATCTAGACCCAAATATCAATTTTTAGAAAAAGTATTGTAGGTGGTATATTATCTGTTGTTGAAATAACCTCGAGAGAATTCGATCTTATTAAGTACTTAACCGTAGCATCTGCTGCTGTGGGTACGTTCAATGAGGATGGTTACTGCAACAGTTTTATGTAAAAATATAACTAGCCTACACTTTCAATAAATGCAGTGAAGCATCTAAATTATGTATATCATAGCTTGTAATGGATTCACCTGAACCCAAAACTCAGTCTATAATGCCATTGTTTATCTTACCAATGTTTTATGCCTGAAAATTTGATCCCATGAATTAGCGTAGTTTTTATATATACCTATAAAGAATCTACTGTAAGTAAACTATGATATATCATTCACTTCCTGTTTCTGTGATGCCTTCATTTCATATTCATCCACTTTTCTTGAAACTTGAAAGGATATTGACGGAAGTTGACGATCTTGACTATTTCTTCCTTATTTATCCATTCGTACTACTACATATCTAGATAAGGTGTTAACTAAACCAATTATTTTGACGTCTGTTTGGTTATATAGCCACAAAACATATTGTGGTATCTGACTTAAAGGGATTTCGTCCACAAATTCTTTATCGTGTTTTTATTTCTAAGGTGGTTATCTTGTTTTGATACTTTGAAATTTTCTTTTCCAACAAATTATTTCTGTTTATAGAAGTACTTATTGAATATTTTCGACTCCTCACCTTTTTCTATTCACAAACCACTTAGTGGATCCAAGTAACTTTCATAAGTTGCAAAAATGTTTCACGAAGTAACTAGGTGTTATTCCGTTTTGTACGTTGGAACGCTAAATTTGGCCGTGTTGATTCGACTTGTAAAGTATACAACTTTCAACTATCTGGTCTCTAAGCTTTATTGACAAATTTTACTGTCTAAACATAAATTTTCTTTTCTGACCCTATTTTGTTTATTGTTAAACCCAAACTAGTGTACCAACTGACAAGGATCACAATATTTCGTCAAATTATTGTAAATTCACATGGAGAATGTTTAGCCAGCGAAGTACGTAAGTCTTACTCAACTTAATATTTGTTGTACTTTAGATTCTGCTTACACTCCCTGGCCAAAGTCTGAAGAATTTTCGAAATGTTCTCATTGTTTAAACACTTATTTCACAATGTCTTCTTCTCGGCATATTTACTATGTCGCTCGTGAAATGTTTCCCGCCTGTCTTTTGGCAGGTGTTGGAATGGTAGTTGCGGGATGTTATATTGATATGCTGAAGTCCTCCGTATGGTCATCATTAATAATTTATATTCTTGTAGGGCACCTTAACTTCGAAAGAGGAAAGTATTTTTGAGATCATTCCACCAATTCTTGGACTGAAAGGAAATTTAGAAGTTGCTCTTTCCTCTCGATTAGCTACTGTGGTTTGTTTGACATTATGTTTTCCTAAAACTTTTAGGTTCATTTTCGAAGAAAGTTTAACGAACTATCTTTCTGGTTGTTCACAACTACTCTGGCTTTTATACTTGTTAAGCGTCTAAATTTGTTATATATATCTTAATAGGTTCTTGCTGTGTTTGCAAGCACAATTATACCTTTAGTGGTAATAGCGTTACATAAATCATCGGGTACATCTCATTTCCCTGTTGATCTTGTTCATCTTATCGTCATTTCATCAATGACTTGCATTTGTGCCACGTGTTTTATAGGCAAGTGTTCAATTTCTATTGCTCAAAATTTTTAAAGGCGTTGTTGTTTACGCAATAGTATGTGCTTGCGTCTTTTGCGGAGCGAATCCTGATAATGTTGCTCCACCCGCAGCCGCCGCTTTGGGTGATCTTGTGACTGTTTTGATTATTTCTCATGTGAACTATTACTTTATCGTGCGTAAGTTTTTTATTTGTATTTATTTTATACAACTAATCTACTCTCACTCACTCCTCAATGCAATAGTTTATACAAGACACCTGAACAGTTTATAACTTGTATTCAGTCACTAATAGGCTTCCCAAAGTGTAGATTTTCCAGTTTTTACTAATAAACGAACAGTGTTGCTTAATATATAGCAATAGCTTCCCGTAAAATTCACCATGTCAAAATGGTGAAGGTTCTCTATGGCCAGAGAGTTTCTCGAGTTCAATTGTCACGTCCATTTTGATATGGATACCTCAATTTCGTAAATATTTGACCCAAATAACTATTTCTGATAAATGTAAGTCGTCACGCTTTTGATTTTAGTTGTCAAGTAGAATGTGAGCCACCTTGACAAGTTATATGAAAGCTTTGAATTTAAGTGTACTTATTCACAAACCTTAGTGACTTTTTATTTTAAAATTATTGTTCGTATACATTTGGTGTTATCCCCATATATATTTATTCTATTGCAGTGGTCATCAACACCGTTTTTCTAATGTCCTGCGTTTTATTTATTTCCATTTGGTTTCACACATCTTGGGAAGTCATATCTGACTTAGTGATTATCCCATTAAGTACTGTCGGGCGAAAAAAATATTTTTCGATTCGTTCTTCATCAAAACCGTACACTAATACATGGGTTTTTTAATTAGATATCAATCAATACCAAATAAATAATTGTACATCATAATTAATCCGATTGTACAATCGCCTGGTTTTACTCCCAACATAACTGGCTCCATAAAAGCAGTTGGAACAGTAAGTATACTTAAAGGCAGTGGGACTGGCCAGTTGTTTTACTTGAGCGCACTTTTGGCTGGCCGACGAAGGAAGGGTATAATCTTGCAACATTAAATGTTCGGATTTCTGAGCATCATCCTGCTTCGTTGGTCGAGGAACAAAATAAAACAATGGGAACTCTATTCTGGGACATTTAGTCAATACCGATCGCCCCTTTGGCAAACATTTTGCTTTATATATATGTAAACCAACAGGTAAATGCAAAAACTAAGTTGTCGCCTTGGCAACTGATTAATCTGTGATTGAATTTCTAAGAATACAAAGTAATGTTACGCTAGATTAATCCACAACTTATCTTAGAAGCTCATTTACTAATATTATGAAAGCAGAAGATTCACAATCATCAAAAACAATAGTTGCTTTACTGAATCACGCTCAGTATCATTTTAGCAGTTATTCATACTTCATGACAGGTGATTGAAATATCTTGTAAAACGTACGGGAATGGTTCAACTGGTCTGCAGCAGCGGTCTAGTTCCTAGCGATTAGACTTCCACTAAGGTTGAAATAGCTGCAACGAACTTAAAACAAGACGTAGCAACAAAACCTGACTGTCGGTCTACATAGTTTATCGAAGATCACGTTCTGGTGTCATTCCATTTGATGTAATAAATAATGTATGCGAATCAGTAATAAATTCTCTAGACTAATTTCGATCCTTGATCATTTAGTTTCATAACAAAACGCAAAACACTTTAAGAGAACCACACGGAAATTGTCATCATCTGTGGCTCCAGATGTCAAATCACCTATTAAGGAGTATTTTGTGAGGAGCTTCCCTCAATTTAAGTCACGTTTACAAGTAGATTTTGATTTTTAACTCACTCAGAACCTATCTTCAGAATTTATTTGTTGTCTCAAATAGTTTTAGTTTGCTAAATGGGTTTTTTCTGTGAGGTATAATTAAGAGTAATGTCGGATCCATCCATTGTGAAACTACCGACATCGTTCAAACCTGTCTCGTAAATATTTTCATCTTGTTACAGATATTACAACCAGCATATTCGTATAAGTCCCGGAGAAACTTCGCTATTTTCTTTTTATCTCAATGATTGTTCATAATCGTAGTAAAGTAATACAAATTCACTGGATATTTGTCTATCCAAAAGGTACATTCTGTGTGTTCTTATTTGAAAAATCTATGGCATCATGTTATTGCCTTGTGGTGGTTGGTTCTCTACTATGCATCAGGGATGACTCATCTCTCATTGACTACGTCCCCGTTAATAGTAATTGACGTCTCACTAAGTCAATCAGCAAATATGTTCCACAACTATTTACTAAATATATTGTTATAAATACCTCGACTAATCAGATTACTGAATTAATGGAATAGCAACTTCCTGATTCCGCTTCAGGATCAGATTCTGCGCCTCCTGTTTCGATTTAGCATAATAGTATCACACATTATATATGGATCATAGCCTATTGCACAGTCTAATACTTGGTTAGTGAGTAGTACTGATTCACTGATTACACTTCAATCCCCTTAACTAATAGTTTCTATGATGAGTCGATCATGTATATAAAGGTAATTTTGCAACGTCCAACTAATTTTTAATTATATATGATGTCAGGTATATCATTAGGTAAGGGAATCTATCAAAATATTTTTCACCTTTAATTTATTTTTGGTAATGTTCTTGTAGATCCAACTTTGACTGTCACCGTTGCCGTGTGCATGATTTCTGTGGTTCTTATTTTGAGTATATCTTATTTATTATATTATTCAAATGTCAACGTATCTGGTGATCTTCTCAGTCTTATTATTACACCTCATACTTTTAAAGAAACTATCATTCCTTTAACTCTTGCAATTATCATGAGTAGGTAAGTTGAAAGTAAAAATTTGCTTGAAAAACCATAAACCATATGGTATTTATGATGTAAAGATTTTGTGGTTGTTCTACTAATCTAGTCCATATAGCTTCTTTTCGATGTTTATTTATTTATTTCAACCCATAGATATTGGTACAAAGAGGCACCAAATACATATGCGCCACACAAATCTCATTCGATATGTGTGAGGGCTGTGATACTGCCCGGGTGCCCAAACCGAAGCAGGTGGTTTTCTTAGGGAGCCACTCCCCGAGCCTTCGACCTAAAGGTCTGATCCACAAGGCAGTGGAGCATCGTAAGGAGATGCAGTCCCATGGGAGCCGGTGACCAACAATCGGTTCATACGCCATTTGTTCCCGCAGGATACTGGAGCCCATGTGCACCATTGGTTTGTGATCCGGTTAAAGCGCCGGACATGCGCTTTTCGTCCTCTCATCTTCGTAAACACCTGTGGTTCGAGAAGGCAGTGAGTAGGACTTCCCTGGCAGAGGCTATTTACGATGTAAATGTTATTTGCCTACTGACTTAGAATATACAGATGACATAGTTTTATTTGGTGAAGACGCTGACAAAATGCAGAGTCTTCTGACCACTCTAAGCAACAATGCAAGCATGTTCGGGATGCGATTCTCTCCCTCGAAATGCAAAATGTTGCTTCAGGATTGGGTTACATCGACACCCGAACTAGTGATAGGGAGTGAAGTAGTTGAGTGTGTCAACCGCTTCACTTATCTTGGAAGTCTCATCAGCCCTTGTGGTCTTTTATTATTATTTGGACACATGAATATTGGTACAAGAGAGCGCCAATATATATGCGCCACACAAAACAATGAAAATTCGAGAGGAATACAAAGAAAGAAAAAAAAGCTAAGGAGCGCAACAACAAAAAAAGAGAGAACAATAACGAAGAGATTGGTGTAAGGTAATGTGCTAGTAATCAGGGAACGCAAAGGTACAATTGGAAGAAATCTTTCAGCTAAGGGAGACAGAACCACTTTTTATGAAGAAAGTAAAAGAAGGTTACAGCAGGATCGCCACTGGCTTCTATTCTGAGCCATATCTGATAACGTCTCTAGCCACTGTGTAGCACCATCTCTCAGACCCCAACCAGGGAGTCGTGAAGGACCAACACAAGCCAGTCCTTTGCAGCTTTCTTTCATGCCACGACACCATGTCATGCACTGACCACCTCTCCGCTTCTTCCAACCAGTCCCAGAGTCGGCAAATAATGCACGACGTGGAATTCTCTGGGACGACATTCGGAGAACATGTCCAAGCCACCGAAGTCGGTGTTTCAAGATGGTGACACCAATTGAATTATCATCTCTGTGCCCGAACACACGATGCCAAACCTCTGCATTACTGACATGGTGTTGCCACTGAATGTCAGCAATCCTTCGGAGACAGCGATGATCGAACACAGAGAGTCGTCTAACGTCCTCAACTCGGAGAGGCCAGGTTTCACAAGCATAGAGCAAAACTGCTCTCACCGACGCGTTGTAGATCCGACCTTTTACGGCCAGACTAACATCACGAAGGCGCCATAGATGGCCCAGATTGGCATAAGCCGCTCTGGCCTTCACTATACGTGCATTGATCTCATCACTCACACCCCCACCAGCACTTATGCAGCTACCCAGATACACGAACTTCTCGACTACGTCTATCTGCTCACCATCCAGTGTGAGTACAGGATTGGAATCCTGCCAGTCTTGTAGGAGTACTTTGCACTTCGAAGGTGCAAAGCGCATACCATACCTACGGACACTGATTGCCAACTGATTAAGTGCGGATTGCATGCCTTGGGCATTATCGCACAGTAAGACAATATCATCCGCATACTCAAGGTCGAGAAGTCTTTCTCCAGGCAACAGATCCACACCACCATTACTTACATTCATCAGAGCTGTTTCCAGAATGTCATCGATGGCAAAGTTGAAGAGGAATGGTGAGATTGGGCAACCCTGCCTAACCCCACTACTTGAATGGAACAATGGAGAAAGGTGGTTGTATGCCCTCACTCTGCCTGAGGTGTTTGTATATAGGGCTTTGCGGATGTTAATAAACTTCTCAGGCACACCCTTCTTCAATAGACAATCCCAGAGAACAGTTCTGTCCAACGAATCAAAGGCAGCCCTGATGTCAAGAAACACTACGATTGTTGGCCTTTGATAAGTATGGCGGTGTTCTAACATTTGGCGGAGGGTGAAGATATGATCAATACATCCTCGACCGGAACGAAACCCAGCCTGCTCCTCGCGAGTCAATCTTTCTCGGGTTTTGAACAACCTACGAAGTATGACAGAAGCCAATAGCTTGGACGCAATTGGAAGTAGACTTATCCCCGATAGTTGTTACAGGAACGACGTGAACCCTTTTGAAATATAGGGACAACTATCGACTCATTCCATGACGTTGGTAAACTCTCTAGTTCCCAAACCTTTTTTAAACAACGTCGTCAATTCCTTAGTCAAAAAGTCACCACCATCTTTAAAAAGGGCCGGAGGTAAGTCATCTGGGCCAGGTGATTTGTAACGCTTCAAGAGTTGGAGTTCCTTGCGGACTTCCTCGTTGTTTGGTGGATCAGTCGTCACCGGCCATGGAGGGCAGGACAGTCTGACCGATGTTGCCGGAGCAGCAGGCCAGTTGAACTGCCCTTCGAAAAATTCTGCCCACCGTCCAAGACGTCGATGGATGTTAGTGATTGGCATCCCATCATACTCGCAGATTGTTTCACTCACACCAGACTTCTTGCTGCCAGTGGCTCGGATGAGTTGGAAGAGCTTCCGGTAATTACCAGATGCAGCTGCTGCTTCCAGCCCATTAGCACGCTTCGACCACTAGGCTTCTCGGTCCTTACGCAAGCTTTGCCCAATTTCCTTACATAACATCCTTCATTTGTGGTCAAACTCACGGTCACCCGGAATAGACCGACGGGCTTCAATGAGTTGTAAGGAACCAGAAGAAACCCAGTGCTTAAAAGCGGGACGTTTCGCAAACACACAACTGACTGTTCCCGCCATTTTCATGGCGTCATGCAATTGCAACCAATGCTCATCTATACTTTTCGGTGGAGTGGTAGCTAGCCTAGAGGCTAGCTCGGTTCGATACTTATTTGCAACAGAAGTTGCAACCAGCTTGCTAACATCAATCTTTTGGTGGTGGTCACTCCGTTGGCCACTGAAAAGTAAGGCAAGATTGGCGCAGACCAAGGCATGGTCAGAGTCCAGATAGGTACTCCAAAAGGAGCGGCAGTCTTTTACACAACCACGCCAGCGGTAGCTGATCGCGATGTGATCAATCTGAGTCCAGGGTTGGGATGCAGAGGGAGGACGCCAGGTGGCACATCGGCGATGACTGTGCCGAAAGTTAGTGCTAGCCAGAAACAGGTTGTGGTCTGTGCAAAGTTGTAGTAGACGGTCCCCGTTATCTCACCTGCGACCAACGAGTCCCCATCGGCCACCTAAACGACTGTCTTCTGTGCCTAGACGCCCGACCTGAGCATTCAAGTCTCCGGCTAGTACTACAATATCTGTGGAACGCACTTTCTGGAGAAGAACAGATAACTGGTGGTATAACTCATCCTTGATTGCATCCGGACTGCAATCTGTCGGAGCATAGGCGGAGATGACGAAAAGACATCGTTTCTCACGCCGATTTCTTCTCACTTTGATGGAACTTTCTAATCTAACAGCACATAACCGACTGTTAATGGGGATCCAATCGACTAGTGCTGCCTCAGCTCTAGCGCTTAGTGCGACACCAACGCCTGCAAGATCAGACGAAGATGCCACAGGGTCCCCGGATAAGCGCACGTAAAACAAGCTTTTTGAAGTGACAGATGTAGAGCGAATTTGTAGTACTTCGCTAGAGTCTTGAATACGGGTCTCGGATAGACAACAAACATCAATATTAAGACTTTCCAAAGACATAGCCAGCCCTATCTGTTGACCAACCTGCATAAGTGTGCGAACGTTGAAGGCAGCCAGTTTGAATGGCTCACGTGGTTTCAGAAAAACTGCTTCAGTACTCATATTCGATGGTAACATACAACTTTCAACCGGACAGTGACTCGAGAACGTTTAGATACAGTCGAATTTCCACCAAAGACGAGCCACTGTATAAGTATAAAAGAGGGTGAATAATGTGGGAAATAATAATAATAATAATAATAATAATAATAATAATAATAATAATAACGACAATAATAGTATTAATAATGACAATAATAGTAATGATAATTATTTGAATCGACTGATTGTTTTTCGGAGCGATAAAAGTAGTTGCCAGAGACATAGAGTTCATCGTTTGTGTGTGGGCTGTGATACTGCCCGGGTGCCCAAACCGAAGCAGGTGGTTTTCTTAGGGGGCCACTCCCCGAGCCTTTGACCTAAAGGTCTAACCCACAAGGCAGTGGAGCATCGTAAGGAGATGCAATCCCATGGTAGCCGGTGACCAAAGATTGGTTCATACGCCATTTGTTCCCGCAGGATACTGGAGCCCATGTGCACCATTGGTTTGTGATCCGGTTAAAGCGCCGGACATTCGCTTTTCGTCCTCTCATTTTCGTAAACAACACCCCCGCCACGAGAAGGCAATGAGTAGGACTTCCCTGGCAGAGGCTGTATACGCGTGGCCGCGTGAGAGCATTTCGAGAGGGAGAGCGGACTCACCCCACTCTCGGCCGTACCAGGGCATTCGGTTTGTGACGAAATCTCAGCACGGATACAGAAGGCTCGACTAGCTTTTGCCAACTTGCGTCATTTATGGCGTAGGCGAGATATCCGTCTATCAACCAAAGGACGGGTTTACTACGCAGCAGTTCGTTCCGTCCTTCTTTATGGCAGTGAAACATGGCCGGTAAGAGTAGAGGATATTCGTAGGTTACTAGTATTCGATCATAGGTGTCTTCGAAACATTGCTCGTATATCCTGGGACCATCGAGTAAGTAACACAGTTGTTAGGGATCGGGTACTAGGTAAGGATGGCAAATCAATTGATGAAGTAGTGAAACTCCATCAGTTGAGGTGGCTGGGACACGTGTTACGTATGCCCAACGACCGACTTCCTCGACGTGCGATGTTCAGTGGTATAGGAATAGGCTGGAAGAAAGCTAGGGGCGGCAAAACCAAAACATGGCACAAGTCCATGAAGTCACTGACAACTGGACTGAGTCATGTTGGTAGGTGCAGACTACCTGGTTGGGGACCGCGAGATGATAGCAACCGATGGTTAGAGACCTTGAATGATATGGCTCAAAATCGTTTGCAATGGCGCAGGTGCATCCATTCCTTGTGTTCTCCCAAATTCTAATCTTATGAATTCTTCATGTCCCTTTTTTCCTCTTTCCAAATCTATTTCACTGGATTATACTCCTTGAATAACATCTCCAAACCCTAATCTTCCCGATTACTGCTTATACTCTCATTACCTCTACCACTGCGGGATTTGAATCGACAACTGAATCTCTGTGCTAATGTGGTGTGGCAACTCGAACTGATGTACGTACGTACGAAGTTCTACGTTGTTACTGACTGACTGACTGACGTACGTAAATGTTATGACTGGTCGTCAATTGTTATATCAGAAACGCTTATTAATTATACTTGAAAAGGGAGGAGCCACCGCGATTCCCACGATGCGAAGTAAGAACACCAAGACTGGTACAAATGAAGGTTTACTAACCCCAAAACACGACGACCTCAGTCAAAATTACGTTCATATATTGATTGTATACCCATTTTGATCGTTAATTAGGATAGAATCATATATATGAAAAGTACCCAGAGTTACAAAAAAGTACATGTCGCATGTCATGTTGAACATAGTTCACGTTGATTTAATACAAGAATATCATAGCTTCAACAAACATCACGCTCAAATGAGTTAATGTTATAACGAATAGATTATCATACTGGAAAAACAAAACAAATACTACACTGAGTAATTATCACACTGAACTAAACATACAGAAATAATGTTAAACAAAATCACAATGTATTTTGTTTTTTAATCCCATCATATCAGTAATTTTTTTCACTTGTGATAGTTCACTAGGTATATGTAGGTGGCATAGTATGTTTTCTCAAATAAAAACATTTCTTAGTAATAATATAAATTTCGGATTAATAAAAGTGTCTTTCAGAAATAAAATTAAAGTTATCAAATTCAGACTCCATCATAAACACCGTAGGATTTGATCCAATCGTAATTCAGTCCAAGTTACCGCACTACGTTACTTCAGTAAGATAAAACTAACATGATACACATCAAATGAGTCGAAGTGATAGTGATGTGTATGTGAATGAATTATACTAAATATATGGAATATAGTTAGTAAAAAGAAATGAATTTGCGGAAAAAATAATATTTAAACTCAAAATCTGTGAATAGATGATGAATGAATCTATCTTCTCCAGTGTGCAACTGTTACCTAACGTTAAATTCCTTTAGATGCACGTTTCAGTTTACTGTTTACAGCTATAGATTCTCTCATTAGTTCATATATTTTCGATCAAGTTTTCACGCGTAGTTTATTCCATCATTCAGATGTAATCTACAGTATACTCATAAAGTGATATAAATTATCTGTTATAGAAAAACTTTATTTTTTAAATAAAGCCATAAATGTCCCCACTTCATTGGAATTTTTCTGTAATTTACACAGTGATGTATTTGTTTCCAAATATTGACTCTTGATGGTTTATACTAGTTGATGAAGTAAGAAATATCTACATTTTGTTTAGAAAAAACTGCTCCTAGATACGTCTGGATGTGGTGAAAGTTAGAACTGTTGTATATTTTCCCTCTGTATTCGTATAAAAGCGCGATTAGCTTCTTGTAGTTCAAGCGCCTCTGTTCATGCTTCCTATTGTTTGAGAAATCTTGGCAATCTTTAACTGTTTTCATCTTATTCCCATTCTTTTCCTGCATAATATTTAAAAAAAATTATTGTGTTAGGTAATATCGAACAATTTCTTTCTTTTGTAAATGAAACTTTTGACTTTACTAGCATTTGTGGGAATATATCCGCCCGATTTCTGATAGATTGGCCCATTATTGCGCGCCTTCAAGTCCCAATAAATGGTAATTCATTTTACATATATTTTTGTGAACTTTTTTTAACCACATTGTGTGCAAAAGCGAGAATAATACCATTTTTATATACTCATACGTACTCCATACTGCTTGCAGTCAGACCTAAAACGAAACATATGTTGTTTGTAGTCTTGTAAAAAGATTTTATACCTAAAATAACGCTTGACTTAATCATACTAATAAGTATCTAATTTGGAAAACAATTGGGCTTTTCCTGCATTGTTTGAAATTTATTTTGCAGTGAAATGATAATGTCCCTATTTTCAGAACCCTTATCATTTTCTAGTTCAGTAGTAGTTCCACAAATTATGAAACTCATCTCATCTTAATCGTTTACATAAGTTAGTCATCACGCGACTTTTCTATTAAATGTTGCTTTTTACTCATCTATTAATGTACTTCGTAAATAATGTGTCACGCAGTGATATGTTCAACTGTGAAAAGAAAAAACCTACAATAATTGTCTTGTATAAGTTGAACTTTCTTCGTAGTTATAAGTTTTAGGATTGATTTGTGGCAAATGCGGCAGTTCAGTTGGATACATTTCTAGTGTAACTTACCAGTTCGGTTATTTTATGTTGAAATGTATCTGATAGTGATTGATTTAACTGTTTAGTTTAGAGGTATAGGAAACTAAATGTCGTAGTTTGCTTACATCTAGTATAGTTAATCGTCAAAGTAACTTCTTGCGCATAGCAACAAATCTATATTTAAAATATTCGTAATACTGATTGTTGTGTTTAATAAATGCAATTTTGCATTGTAAATAACCGCTTATGAGTATATAATTTATCGAGTCATTTGTTAAGTGCTACAAATCAATCACCTGTACAATAACAATAATTTTTCTTGAGCTTTTGTGATCTAAGAATATAATATTTCATGATATATATAGACAGTATAACGTTATTAGTAAACGTTTGTTATTTTTATGTACATAACGTTATGTAATTTAAAGTGCGATAACCATAAGTAACGACAATAATGATAATTCTGTTTTATTTGTTAATATAGTTTCATACTATTCCAATATCTCATACCCACTGGTAAGCCTAGTAATATTCAAAATAGCAACCATTGTAATTAGTATTTCAAAAGTTAAGAAACTGATTACAGAGCCTTAAAAAGTACGTCAATGTCTAAACGGAAATCAGTGTTTTTTACATTTAGGTATTCATGAAATATTAAGACAACTTTTCAGTACTTTGACATTAAATATTTGTAAGACTTGTATTGTTATTTGAAATGTATATTATCCTCAAATATTATTTTGACTTAAAATAATAATTAGTAATTTATTGGGCGCTATTCTACAGAGATTGAAATTACATAACATTGATTTAAGTTTTTTAAGTAATTCTATTTAGTGGCACATTTGCATCACTTGTGAATTATATTTTGGTTTCATAGTATTGTGATGTGTGCTACTGATGTTAACAGATACAAGTAGCGTGTATCGTCAATCGAAACTGAAGCGCCTCGAGTCATAAAGTTAGGAAGATCGAAGAAATAGAACGAGAACAAAGAATCATTGGTGTGGAAACGAAACAATGAAGTCTGAGACGATTGACTGATACTTGCGAAAGGAACAGTCAAGTTTGAAACAATTGATTGAATTGCAAATAAAGTATTTACTGTATGGTTCTCAGATTTTACTAAGATGTTCTGCTCGATTGTTCCCACTTATGTTCTCGCTCACTACAGTATGGTCAAATTTGTGTCATTAAACGGTAATTTATTAAAAATCTAGTCACTGTTATAAACAGTGACAAAACAGAAGGGGTTAAAATTATCCTGTGATAACCATACAGGGATTAGCTTGACTAGTATAGCATCTAAAATACTAGCCTCAATAATCATCGGGCGCCTATCTAAGATCCGTGAACTGCAAAAACGTGAAAATCAGATTGGCTTCAGACCTGGTTGTGGTTGCATCGACCACATATTCACCATTCGTCAGGTTTTAAAACACACATGTTTATCGGCGTCCGACAATGGTGGTCTTTCTTGACCTACAAGCAGCATTTGACTCTGTTGACTGAGAGGTTGTGTGGCAGTGTCTGTCATTGAAAGGCGTACCTCAGAAGTACATAAACTTGTGAAGGCTCTTTACTCGAACACTACTGATCGAGTCTGAGCTTATGGCGAACTGTTATCTGATTTTGCAACCTCGAGCGGTAACCGGCAAGGCTGTTCACCATCTGCAATTTTGTTTAACTTAATTATAGACCTACTGCTGGGAATAACGCTCTCGTCCTCTGAATTTTCAGGAACTCATCTCCTACCAGGAGGTCCATATATCGACTTAGAATACGCAGGTGATATAGTCCTGTTTGATGAAGACGCTGATCAAATGCAGAATCTATTGGCAGCACTGAGCAACAATACCAGGTTGTTTGAGATGTGTTTCTCCGCCTCTAAATGCAATTTGTTGCTCCAGGACTGACCTGCGTCAACACCTGAACTAAAGATAGGGAGTGAAGTAGTCGAACGCGTTGACAACTCCACTTATCTTGGAAGTCTGACCAGCCCAAATGGGTTGGCGTCTGACGAAATCTCAGCACGGATTCAGAAAGCTCTTTCGGCTTTTACCAACTTACGCCATCTATGGCGAAGGCGAGATATCTGTCTATTAAGGGACGAGTATACTGCGCGGTAGTTCGTTCTGTTTTAGTTTACGGCTGCGAAACGTGGCCATTTAGAGTAGAAGATGCTCGTGAGCTACTATTAATTGAGCACAAACGCCTTAGAAATATTGCTCGCATCTGCTGGGATGACCGGATAAGTAATAGTGAGGTTAGATGCAGAGTATTCGGGAATGATGATAAATCAGTTGATGAGGTCGTGAATCTTCATCGACTGAGATGGTTGGGCCACGTGTTATGTATGCCTGGACACCGATTACCATGGCGCACAATGTTGACTAGTGTTGGGGACGGTTGGGAGAAAGTTAGAGGCAGTCAAACCAAACATGGCACCAGTCCATGAAGTCACTAACACTCTTTCTTCCCTCAAACTATGAGATTAAAATTGCTTTATATCTTTCTTTCTACGAACTAATTCTTTTTTCCTGTACCATATCATTATATGCAATCTTTCTTATATATATTACCACCATTGAATTAACTAATTCTGTGAATTCGGTGTTCATCTTGTTGTGCTAATGCGGTATGGCAATTTGGACCGATGCATATGTGTCTGGTCCTACGTTGTAGCTGACTGGCACACAAAAATGTATTATTTGAAGGAAGATTGTGTTCAATCATTCTTCCACTTTACTTTAGACAATAAACTATCCGTTGCTGCTTTCTGAAGGGACTCGGATTTGATGTACTTAGACTTCATTATATAACTTGTGACAGTTGACTACTAGTTCCTTATTTTATTTTGAACTATCTGAGGTGTTTCGATTCTCGCTTTCACTGTATTCCAGATGATTCATTGACTTTTGTCCAGTGATATTATGTAGTTATAAGCTCGTATTTTTGTGTTGTCATCGTTAGGATGTTTTGACTGTAACGCCGAATGGCTGTGATTCTTCCATGCTTAAACCGAATATTGAGGTAGTAAAACTAATCGCAATTGTTACTCTATTATGAGACTGAACTATTCCGATACTTATGCAAAAAAGATATTTAATTCAGCTTCCATCTCAAGAATGTATCGTTATCTATTCACTTAATTAACTCTAATTATAAAGCACAAAAGCTCTAATCCTATATAATCTATTGTTGTTATTTTTCATAGTTTAGTACAATAGGGAGGACGTTACGAATGTTATTACATCCAAAGCAATCTGTAACTGAATATTACAAATATGTATGTACCACACTTATTTATCAACTGTAAGCTTTTTTAGTTGAAGTGATCGTTTAATCACCAATTATGCTTTGTACATCCTATGATGGTGTTAAATAAATTATTAACTTGTATTGATTTTATATTCTCACATATTTCTCTATGCTTTTTTGTTTGCATGTAGGTGTGGGGGGGATTTTTGGTTCAATGTTAATTAGCAGAATGACAACACGCCTGCATTCAATAACTTGTTCAAAAAAGCCTCCTCTGAAGGAGTCGTTCATTGTTTCTCCAACATCTGGTCTAGTCACAGTTGAAAAAGTCAACACTGTGAACTCTGATAGAAAATCTACAACTCATAATTCACATTTCTACACATCATCTCAGTCATTCGAAACATTTGGATCTTGTAGAAAAGTACTTGAAATTCATACTGATGTTTCACGGGTATCTAAACTTATCAGATTCCTGTGTGTCCCGTTACATTTTATCTTAACTTTAGTCAGTTTAACTGTCAGTTATTATTTAAAACAGGATAATTCTCCAAAGATCACATCACCTCTGCAGTTCGACATTTTATTTCCTTACCTCATCGCTGGATTCATACAGGTAAATTATTTTCTTATTTACTTGCTGATTACTATATATAACTGGAGATTAGTCCTTTTTTTATTGAATCAAGTTCCCTAGACCTATGTTTTTGCTAAAACTTATCTTAACAAGGATCAAATAAATATCCGATGATGAAAATCCTATATGTACTACCAATATTCTGAATCTTAAGTATTTTTATCTATCATTTTCGTATTCCCTCTGGATTTGTCACTCACTGTATGTGGGTTAGTAGACCCTGCGAAATCGCTAAAACGAGTGAAATTGAACAAAGTGCAATACTCAATGATACACAAGGGGGTCAATAATAATGATAATCCATTATATAGGAATCTATTGAAAAAGTAACATGAATATTATTATCAAACAACTTGAATTGGTCAATAGCACACTAAAAAATTTTCTTTTACTTTCTGATCAGTGGATTTCCTTGGATAATTAGTTCATACCGTTAGAGAAGACTTAATTCATCAGTTTACACAGCTGAAACTGTAAATAACTTTTAATGACATTCTTATAAAACTAGCTAATTATTGGTTAAGTGAAATAAACTGTTCAAAATCTGGAAAAACAAAGTTATGACATTTGGACTATTGGGCTTAGTGCACGACTATGTTTCCCTAAGGTCTCTAGTCACTATTTTGTATTGTTTCTAGAACTTCATTAAGGTAGTCTACACTCATCTACACAAACCAGACTAATAGTCAGTGCTTTCTTGATAGACTAGTGCTATGTTCACAACCAAAACATCCTATTCAAAGGGCGCACAACAGCTCCAACATCCTCAAAATGAGCTACAATTATTAATTTGGCTAGCATTGGGCATCAGGTTGCACAGTAACTTAATATATGTAACATATAACTCAGTTGTTTCAATCAATCCAGATACATCACTAAATGTAACCCAATTCATACAGCTTATAAGCTCTAGCTTAATCATATGTTTTACATCTCCTAGGTGTCCAATCAGTGAATGTCTTGCTTTTACCCTGCAAGATCGATGGTGGTGAATGTTTTTTTCCTTTTGAGGTCATTGGGAGTGCACTAACAAAATTTCCTACAACCAAGTGATTCATGTATAATACATAGAAAAATATAATTGTACTTTTTTCTTGTTTCTCTCGTACTATTACTTTTAGATATGCATACTTCTCGAGTTTGCAAAATGGATTGTTTTAAAACTTTGGAAACATTTACATTCTACAAAACATTTAAACTTTCATGATAATGTTATATCCTTAGCATCAATTGATTTCTCCGCTATAGCTGTCACTACCGGTGCAGGTGATCTGATTGGAACAAGTTTATTCATTCTATTTCTATCTATTAGTAAATGGATTATAAGCGGTTGATTTTCTTGTCGTTTTTTGTGTGATCATTCTGTACAATTAGTTCTTTGATGCTTATATTTCGTTCTTTGTTGTATATATGAAAATATTATTCTCCTTCTTTCATATTAACATGATTGATATAACAATTATTTGGGCGAATTAAATCTTCTATACTTATGTAATATCTTATGAAGTTTTTTACATCATGTCAGTATAATTTTCAGTAATTTTTTCTACATGTTTATCTTAATGTCGAGAAACATTTAAGGGGAATATTGTCACTAAATAAGTTGTGATACGTTTTTGTGTATTTTGCTAATATTATAAGGTTTAGAAGTTTATATTTTCAACTGGATCTTGAAGGGGTTTTGCGATGGTAATGGTTCTTTCCTTTGATTATTAGGATTTGTTACTATTCAATTATAATGTTTCTATTGAAATTATAATCATTCATTTGTGATCTCTCTATTTTCCTCTCCGTTTACAAATATTCCACTGTGTTTATCTATACCTGTTGATCCGATTAAATCTAAAAATTTTAAAAATATAATTGAATTATGCAAGAATTTATTATTTCTGATTAGATATATAAACTATGTTTCTCAGTTTAGCATTGAACAACAACTTAACCGATTGTGAAAACTCATTCAATAGTTTTATTATTAGTCGATAATTAGAATAAGTATTAGTATATGTACAGTATTTCATATTGGTAATTCGTAAATTGTAGTTATTTGATTTGAGAGAACTTGTTTTAATTTTACGAAACTCTGTGTTTCATCTATTTAATTTATTTATCTGCTTTACAAGTGTAGACATGTTGATGTATATTCGACTAACTATCTACTATGATTAAACATCTAAGAGAGTATGAGAGAAAAAAAGAATATGTGGTTTCAAAATGGACTGGGTAAATAAATACTGTTATTTATTTATTTTGACTAGATTGTTTGTTAATAGCTAATTACTATAATCAATTATTTATTAAGAGAAGAATCAAGTTTTGTTTACTCTAGTACAGTAAAACTGGTCATTTTCTTACTATTGGAATATACGCCTTAAATAATATAAATATATACATGCATATACATAATAAGTCAAATGGTTTCGCCTTTTATTTCATATGTGAATTATTTTCACGCATTGTCTCTGTATATATTGTAAACTTGCTTATGTTTTAGTTTTTTTTACTAAACTAGACAACCGAACCCAAAAAATCAATAGAGTATTATCATCAGTTTATGGGTTGTGGAGATTGTTAAGTTTTTGATTGAAATCATAAGTCAATTGAAGCTAGACCACCATGGAAAACCTGGAAGCACTGGACGGCCGTTTCGTCCTAGTATGGGACTCCTAAGCAGTGCTCATCCACGATCCCGCACTCCGCGAGACTCGAATCCAGGACCTATCAGTCTCGCGCCAGGCGCTTAACCAACTACACCACTGAGCCTGCATCCAATGGTGTTAATGCTTAACCTCAACCAATCCACGAAATTGCGCGACCATCTTCCATTGTACTGAGGTAGACACCTGTTTCTACCCGACACGGACTAACTCCACTGGTCACGGCTTCTCACCAGAACTCCGAAAATTTTCTCACGGAGCTAGTCACTAGTGAGCACATGGTAATTAACAGTTTATGGGTTGTTGAGATTGTTAAGTTTTTGATTGAAATCATGAGTCAATTTACAAAAAATTTCAAAATTGAACCAATTGATTCCTACAATGCACCGAAATAGAATAAATTGCCTACTGATTCAAATATTATTTTGATTACTTATATAGTAATAATCAATAGATATAGAACTTTTCGGTGATCTGCAACTTTTAAAGCATAGTACTATTCATAGTTCTTCTTAACTACGTGAAAGGTCAGAAGTCCTACTAGTCTTACTAAGTTCAATATAAATAAAATGTCTACCATTAAGAGAATGTCGTGTTTAAAGCAAATTATATTTCTACTATTAATTGTTTAGTATGTATTTATTTCATTTTTAGTAACCATTTAATAAACTGTTCTTTTTACTGGCAATATGATCGTTGTGTTTGGAAAGCATTATATGTGATAATATTTATTCTGAATGAATCTGTTATTCTTATCAATTTTAACCACATCATTTTATTATCGGTAAACAATCTCATTGTTAGGCCTTTTAATCATCCGTTCCCAATTGTTGTCTAACATTTCAATAAAGTTGGTTTTAATCTCACAGCATATTGTAATAACATTGTTATATTTACTATTCAAATATCTCATATTAAACTATCGTAATGACCGTAGAAAGCAAAGATTAGCACAATCTTGCTCTAAATTTAATACAATACTGTTAATTATTTTTTAACATAAAGTCCAATTCATATTGATTTCCAATTCCTTTTTAGAAATCTATTCACTGTTGAATAAAATATGGTCATTTTCAGGTTATTATTTAATATTCACATTTGTTTTATGGTGAATTGGAAAAAAAACATCAAACCGAATTCACTTTTTAGTAATTAAGGTCAATAGTGGGACATGCAAGGTAATAAAAAGTTTCTTGATATTAATTCATCGGTGAAAGTATAGTATAGAGGCTGAACTTAAAACAACTGCAATTCATTTTCAGACAGTTATTAGTCAATCCGAAAACTTTGCAAGATTCTATAGTGGTTAAAAGTAATATTTCGCAATTATTCTAAATGTTTTGAATAGTATGAGAAGATAATTATGCTGGTTGTTATACGTAAAATTTGAATTTCTCGCTAAAGCCTAAAAGTCGCATTTGTGATTCTGATTGATTTATCCTTATACTAGACTTTTACCAATTTATCTTCAATTACATATTTTGAGTTCATTCAGTTCATAAACAAAATGCTCGAAACTAACTTAATGAATTTTAAATTCATTATGAATATCTGTGAGAACAGGTATTATGATAAATGTGCATTTACGCTAGTTGTAACTGACTGATTTTTAATTTATTGTGTCGTCTCTATAATACACGAGAAATATGGATTTAGTCAGTGTTACATGTTATTTTACCATTTCATTAAACATTCTGGTTACATTATGGCTATTTTCTTGAAAATCCTTTATCCTCGTACTTGCAGATCACCTATTCTTTAACTGTACGAATATTACAATTCATTGTTCCTATTTTTAGTCTGTTCTGATTGGCTAATCATTAATGTTAATCTCTTCGATATTCTAAAACACTTATGATATTATGTATTAAATAATAGTCATTAAGTTCAAACCGCACTGCCACGGAGTTTGGTTTGTTTTCCTCTTCATATGTTTTCGAGAAATGAAAAGTAGTTTAAACGTCTAATGTATTATGAGATGGCAAAATGTGACCAAAGAAAAACGTTTACGGATGAAGACTAATTCCTGCTAACTAATATTAAAAGATGTTTTCATATATTTTTGTGAATATTAACAAGTTAAATGGGTACTAAATGCTGATTTGTTAAAATACTGCATACTTATACAGAGAATTCTTCACTGCAATCAAACATACGGTATTGAATTAAACAATTATGGTTATTATTTGTTATTTTCTTCAATAAATTGCTGTTGAAATTCGCAGGTTAACGATAACGTATTATCAGCTAAAGTCACGGTCCACAGTTAGCTGAACCTAAAATACAATATTGATTATTCAGCTGCTGTGAAATTACTGAATGTAAGATTAAATAATTCTGATCCTTAGTGCCTAACCTAAACAGTTATGACCTATTCATCTTATCATAACTTAAGAATATCAATCTAAGTGGATTCACAACTTTCAATTTCACAGAACTAGAAGTGTTTCTGTGTTAGTTCCAAGTATAGTTAGTAATACAGCCTCAGTATGATAACCAAATTCGACTCATAACATGCATAAGTGAAAAAAAGCCAGCAATACTTCAACTTCTTTTGCAGTATTTAACTATACAGTTAAAGTGTTCATTTCTAGTGCATAATTGGAAACCTGTTTATTATAAAATCAATAATGTGAAATATGACTTTTTAGTCTACACTAATAAGGAATAAAATTTATAAAAAAATGGTTATTCTTACATGTAAACGAATTCATATTGATGTATTTTAGTGTCAGTGACAAAGTATAGGTACGAATGTAAAATCAGTTTTTACTAAAATAACAAGATGTTTAGTTTTCATAATAAAATGAAATATCATTAGATCTGTATCAATAGAGTTTGTTGCTAACTAGATCATATAAAACAATTGGTTATTCATTATAATCATTTCAAAGACTCAAACAAATAGTTGTATAGAAATTCCTTACAAATTTTACGTCAGCTGTTTTAACGATGCTATTGACCAGTGAGTGCTCTTATAATTTGCTTTTATCCTACTTTTTTGTATAGTATTTATACCGATCAACAATTTACATCAAACTGATGTTTCTTCAGTATACGGATGGCAGAATTTTAATTTGTAATATAGATTTTCTCTTCTTAATTAATCATAATGAAAATAGTGGGAGTAATATGTTCATGAATATATTTCAACTAACTAAATATATAATTGAGATCATTAACTGATCAATGTTAGACCACCATTGAAAACCTGGAAGCATTGGACGGCTGTTCCGTCTCATTATGGGACTCCTCGGCAGTGCATACCCACTATTCCTTTATCGGGACTCGAACCCAGGGCCTTCGGTCTCGCGCGCGAACTAAATATGGTCTAATTTTGTTCGCATAAATTTTACCAGTTGTTTGACGTGAGAATTATTTCTTTTTAAAGATCACTATGTGATATCTTTTAATTTTTATTGACATTTTGGCTTTTGGTGCCGTTTATAATTGCAGCTACGTGAAGAATTAACACTCCGTTTATAATTATTTGTATTTTCCCACTAATAATAGAAAATTTAAATAACATTTTTTTCAATAACTATGAGACCATCTGATAGAATTAATATGAATTCAGCTAAAAACTCTTCAAAATGGACATTGAGATAATAACTATTAAGTCTTTAATTACTGGGTTTAATTCAAATAACGACAGATAATATACTGTTAGAATTCAGTGTCCCGTCTGGTCATTTGAGAAATGACTGTCAAAAGTTAATATCATGTCATTGTTAAGTTTGTCTTAGATTGTTCCTACTTGCTCCCTTTTCACTCCTTCGTATATTGTTTTATACTACTTATTTAAATTCAGTAAGTGGTTGTATTACCAACAAGTTTTACACTTATGTTGTAACGCATGTTGAAGTGTAATATTCTGAAATGTTCACATATACTTATAACGTTTATTGTACTTATCATTGTATTTATCATTATAATTACTGTACCTTAATCACTGTAGCGGTTATCCACAGTTTTGCGCACTTGTTTAAACGCAACATTTTCCATATTTAAAACAATTAGGCCCTTTGATAAATTTCGATAATGATATTAGAAGACGAAGATTATCAGAACTATGTGATATATTAGCGCAGTGCATTTCGAACAATCTGCTCACACATATACTTGTTAAGAGCACTTATATATAAAAATAAAAGGTCAACTAGACAGGAAACGGGGTAAGAGGAGATAAGGATAATGATAAGAGTAATAATAATGTGAACAC